GATACACCACATCAATATTCTGAGATACACCACATCAATACTCAGAGATGATGCACATCAATGTTCTGTGTTACTTCTCATCAATACATGGAGATACAGTACATCAATACTTTGAGATAATGCACATCAATGCTATGTGTACTTCACATCAATCAATACTCGGATACTGCAGTAAGAGGGACTGGCATGGAAAAGTATCTAGTCGTTCGGATGGGATAATAAACCGAGGCCCTATGTGCTAGAGGATGTGCTAAAGATCCCTCGACAGTTGGAAATCGACAAAGAGCAGACTAATGCCGCTGTCTTGGCAAAATTTCCCTCATTGCACCCAGCATGACGTTGCCCGTCTTCATTAGAACACATGGAGCAGAAAAGTAGGATGTAAAATTCCATTCATTTCATTTTCGGTGATACCGCACATCAATACTCTGAGATACTGCACACCAATACCCGGAGTTACTGCACATCAATACTCGGCGTTTTAACATATCAATACTCGGGATACTGCACATCAATACTCGGGTATACTGAACAACAATGATCGGAGATACTACACATCAATACTCGGCGTTATTACACATCAATACTCGGCTATACTGCACATCAATACTCGGCGTTATTACACATCATACTCGGCTATACTGCACATCAATACTCGGCGTTATTACACATCAATACTCGGCTATACTGCACATCAATACTCGGTTATACTGCACATCAATACTCGGCTATACTGCACATCAATACTCGGGTTATACTGCACATCAATACTCGGTTATACTGCACATCAATACTCGGCGTTATTACACATCAATACTCGGCTATATTGCACATCAATACTCGGCTATACTGCACATCAATACTCGGCTATACTGCACATCAATACTCGACTATACTGTTCATCAATACTCGGCTATACTGCACATCAATACTCGATTATACTGCACATCAATTCTATACGGCTATACTGCACATCAATACTCAGAGATGAAGCGCATCAATACTCGTAGATACTGCACACCAATATATTCTCAGAAACAGCACATCAGTACTTATCACTTCACCTGATGATGAAAATGTAGATTGTTGAAACGTAATGTGTAATATTAAAACTAAGGATTAGTATACCATAATATTGTGTAACGTTATTTAATGTGATCTCTACCCCTAAATGTCGCTTAAGGATTACATATCAATACTCTGTCCCAGCTTCAAAATAACAAAAAACTATTCTTAACAATTTTTGTTAATATTTTATTTTTGCTTTTTACATTATTGCGGAAAGAGAGCTTGATTTTTCTAGAATATTTTACAAATATGCAATTTAAAGGCCTCTTTTAAACGGCAAAATTGTAAAACACTTTTAACAACCTAAAGCTTCTGTTCTGAATTAGTGAGCCATGTTTGTAAAAGTCGTGTTAAAAATGTGAAACATTTGAAGAGTTTTGTCTCTGTTCTGTAATTGATTCACTGTCTATTTAAGACAATAAACATTATGTGATGGAATCCAGACTAGAGTAAGTAATGAAATATCTACAACCAGAACCTTACAAGACTGAGTCAATTTTAAACAACCTCTTGACATTACTATAAAGAGAGAATAATTTAGTGGTTTGTAAAGATATCTTGGTCATTGACCTAACAGTTCTGATCCCGTCTTCATTAACCTACAGGGTGCAGAAAAGTAGGACGTAAAACTCGATTACAGTTCTGATTGAAGTGTATTAACATTCTATGGCATATCAGAATTCACTGTTCTTGAATCTTCCAAGTGTCTTAAGCAAAATATCAACTGAAGAACAAAATATGCATTGTTTACACGTGGATGACATCGTAAGGCCATGACGACTGCGAAGAATCCCAGAAAAATCCTTCCAGGAGTGAATGCACGTGTGACAGAAGGACGGGAAATTGCATTATAGGTTTCAGGGGTATTACTTCAAAGAGGAAAACTTGCAACACCAGTTATAGAATAGTTCTGGCATCCATCCAATATTGTAGGGGTAATATTTTGTTATTAGGCGAACTAAATGATGCAAATTATCTGAATATCTGTTGCGGAACACATTTTTACAATCACAGAGAGAATGACGTAGATGACTTCGGTTGGTATCATAATTCTCTTCAATACAATCAGTTAGTCGTTTGGATGGGACAATAAACCGAGTCCCCGTGTGCTAAAGGCTGTGCACGTTAAAGATCCCTCGACAGTTGGAAATCGAAAAGCAGGCTTATGCCGCTGTCCTGACAAAATTTCCCTCATTGCACCCTGCATGACGTTGCCCGTCTTCATTAATAGCCCACATGGTGCAGAAAAGTAGGACGTAAAACTCCATTCATTTCATTTCAATACAATCAGACACGAAAGAAACATTTTGAACGTAGAACTTTGATCAGAGCTTTATTAATTATTTTAGCTTCAGTAAATCTCTAATTTTATCAGAGATTATTATGTTACTGTTATCAAAGTCCAAATGGCACTTCTTCAAGATTGTAGAGTAAGGACACTTGAACTCTGGGGAACCTTTCAAGACTGTTTCAAGTAGCAAATTTTATATTTCTTCGAAGTTGAAAGCTTCTTGCCGGAAATTTTATGGTTTATAACGTCGCCTCACAAGTGCCATCCAAATTTTCAATAGTTAGTAGGCTACCATCTGGAGGTCATGGTGTTCTTTCTTTCAATTTAATTCAAACGTAGGTAATCCTTGACAAAGGAAGGAAGGAAGTGTTAAATCCTACTTGTCTATTCCGACTGTTGCTATTGGGTCACGCCATGTAGTTTCCCCATGTGTTAAATTTTGTCGGGACATTTACATTTGCTTGCTGCAGTTGTTGAGGGTTGTAGACTATCGCTGTATCATTCAATCAACCAAACGTATTTCCGTTTGCGCCCCTCCGATCTCATTACTGATATGGGAGTAACCGGACTAGCCTAGGACTCCCAGCTTGGCATTGAAGCGTCTTACTTCCTGTTATGCCGGGCAAGAAATAGAGAAATACAAAATGAATAGATTTTAAGTAATCCTTATAAGACTTTATCTTTACCTTTCTATTCACATTGATTCTCGCCTTTTATCTGAATGTAATGTCAGAATTATAGAAATCCATGTCTTTATTGAAATGTTATCTGTTTTGTTAAAAGTTAACAAGTTCTGTTGAGATCAGATTACGACTGTTAATAACGGTATTTTAACAATTGATTATATATCGTGTAGACATTCTTTCTCTTTCAAACAAAAAATTAAATCACATTAAAAGGTCTTCACAGATCAATAAAACACAAAATGCTCCATTTAATCTTTTGATGTTATTTTTAACCGTACCATCCTTGTTGTGGGATACTTATCTGTTCATTCAAACAATCGTTCAATTCTTCATTCGTTAAGTCACCACGTCGACCTGAACGAAATTGAAACGATATCTTAGTGATAAACTGATCTGAAACACTGTGCTTCGTGTTTTATATTATTCGATTTACTCCCGTAATCATTTTTTTTAAATCAAATTTTTTCTTTAATAATAGATTTCGAAATTGTCCTTTTTTTCAGCTGCTTCCTGAAATGTATTCATGGGGTGATAAAGAATTAATTGCCACTGCCATATATTTTAACGTAATCATTGTTTGGTCCATAACTATGAACTACTATCGAGAGATAAAAGCTATGCCGATTTCAACACACCTGTACTAATTCTCATTTGTTTCTCTTTTCAGGCAAAAGAGGTCCAATCGAAGCTCTTCATTTTGCTGTGTTATTTGCCATCTAACCACTACTTCACTTCCGATGATATTATATATGTTGACCTGCACAGGTGAAATATTCCCTAACCATTGGACTTGATATATCCTCGAGTCATACGGATTATAATCTTTATTTTGGTGTGTTTCGCACTTCGGCATTTCTGCATGCACTACTTATTCAAGATCAAGATAATTTATGACCTTTATCTGAATAAAGATAATACTGTGGATTTTCATTTGGAAATTTTCGATTATTCATGTTTTTGCATTTTTTTTTCAATTACTATAAATTTACTTTCATGAAAATTGCTTGAAATGGGTTTCTGAAGGCAGGCGCAGACGAAGAATTTTTGCCTGTGAAAAATATTGTTATTTTCACAAGTTTTCATTAGCAGCACACGATGGATATTGTTAACAAATGTCTCTGTCGATTTGTCACACGAATTTTGACTCATGTGACAATACAATTTTAATTCACGTGATGAGATATTATATGTTGATTGGATGATTTCGTAAAAATGTTTTTATGCAATGCACAGGACAGACTGTGCAAAACATATAATGTACACAATAAGTAAGCAACTGTTCTGACATACAACAACAATTTTCTGTGATCAGAATGAAAATTCGGTATAAATTCAGACTCTCTCTTTATATCATAACTGACATTAAATCCTATTGTATTTTTCCTATTTCACTTTATCTCATTAACATTGCACAATCTTGTAACTTTAAACTTTGAGTTAGTGTAAGTGTATGTTATTTATCAATCTCAACACCTACTTAGTTTCAATGTATTTAAATCAATGGATGTAAATGTCAACTGCTTTGGATTTACAAACGTTTTTTTCTATTAATTATTAAACTTTTTACTGATATTTTCTCTTATTTTATTCAGCATTGTGAAAGATTTCAAATAGTCAGAAACTTGATGACTCACCAAGCCATGTCCTACTTTACATGTGTTACCTTCCATAGTACTTATTTAAGAGAAGCTCAAACTCAAAATAGTCTTCTTAATAGATGTGTATAAATAATCAGCAAATTCTGGAGTTTTATGAGAGAAATATAGAATGATGTTTCATACATTTTAAAAAATCTACAGCTAAAAGATTTCTTTTTTTGGTAAGTTGTAAAGTTCTGTATATGATATGTATAAACAGTCGATTTGTAATGGTTAAAAACTACAGATTTAATGATATTATTTACGTTTTATTCAATAGTTAAAACAGATAGACATACACATGATCACAAAATTCATAATCTTTGATCTGCATACCTAGACAACTGGGTAAAAATGTTCTACAGTTTTTCATTTCAATTACACTAATCTGATTTTATAGTATTTTATTTTACACTATTGTAAAGTTATGATATTGTTACAACAGCTCTCGAATTAATAATTACACATCAGTCTTAGGTTGTGTTTTAACTTCTACTTTATCAACTAGATTAGTTCCTAATACTTTAAAATCTTCTAAAACAGCTTGTAGATTAAACTCTAATACAATCTCACTTCCTCTTGTAGATGGTTTACTCATTAGTAAATTTGGCACCTACAAAACAAAACATGAACATAGAAAAATAGGAGAAATTTTTCACTGAATAATTTTTGATCATTTGGTTTGATTATAAGTCAAGGCCAATCTCCTTCAAAAAGACGTATACATATCAATGCTTGTAAATTGTAAAAAAAAGAATATGAAACCTACCTTAAAGTCCCTCTTTTGAAATAACCTAGGTTTCCACAAAACACCAATACAAGTTCCACCATACTGATCATAGAAAAATAGTGCTCTATCAGCATATATTTCCTGAAAATTGCAATGGTAATATTCAGATTATTTATATCAGTTGATTTTAGAAACCCAACACATATAAAAGTGGCATCAGAAGATCATAAAATGACTTAATGAGCTCTATATCAGTTTGGTTCCACTATAGTAAATGATATGTTGGTTTGATATGACAAGGACTTCTGAGAGGATTTCTGTGGATAACATTCAAAATATTATTAAAACATATGATGCCTTTCACAACTGAACTTTTAGACTTGGGATATTTCTTTTGAAGATTGAAAGATTTTAAATTCCTTGGGTAACTTTCTTCAAATTTTAATTGCAGATAAGTTTAAGTTTACTGAAAATAATATGATATTTCCAGTCAATCTTGATATAGCATTCATAAAACAGTTATCTTTGTTTTACAATACCCTTACCTCTAATTCCTTAACATACTTTACAACAGGATCAAAATCTATTACAGGAAATATCTGATCATCAGTAGATCTGAGAGTAGGTATAGGTTTATCTTTAGGGTAATCTATTGATTGATAATATCTTGGTACTTGATTAGCTTGTAAATATATCACAACATCATAGCTATCTAATGGTGGGCGAAATACTTCCTATAATCAGAAAAAAACAACTGACAGTTTTATAGTTTACAAAACATTATCAGTACAGGTATTCAAATTCATAATTATCACAGAAGTATCTAAACATAAACAGTATTTCAAAAAAGCTAATCAATATATTTTGCTCTGACTTACATAAAGACTCTGTTGTTCCTGCAATTCCAATAAAACTAAGTGTTTGATGGTGTCACTAATTGCGAAGGGTCTTATGTGATAAAGCATATATTGCGATAAGTGACATCATCAAACGCTTAGTTTTAGTGGAATCGCAGGAACCACAGACATTCTTGTTATACCAGAATCTATGTTTACTAAAAAATTAGTTCAACGGAATATATAAATTACTTGCATCATGATTTCCTATATATTACACATACCTTAATATCATCATTAGATTGTGGTTGTAAAACTTGTGTTTGTAAGACATGAAGAGATTCCTTAGCTAACAATGCCAATCTATTTAATATCATAGCTGATGGTTGGTCTTTAGTCCAATATGAACTCCATTTATCCATTGGTGTAGAAATAAACATTAAAGGAAATTTCTCTCTTTCTTTGTTAAACCTAGCAGGTATATCTACCAAATCTTCAGCTATAATATAACAAAAGATTATACTGTTTTCAAATGAAGACACAGTATCACATGTGACATGTTCATCTATGTCAGTTAATTTTGAAGACTGGTAAAAGCAGAAAGGTATTGATATTTGAATTACTTTAATGGTTTTTTTTTCCACTTACTAAATTGGCTATCTATCATTAAAGAAGTTTTCAATTCCAGTTCAAAGCTTATATTGAGCTTAGAAAGCACAATGCAAGGCAATTTTCTCAGATCATTGCTTGTAATGTAAGTTCCAGAGCAATAACACCAAACCAAGCTACAAGATCTGAATTTTAATTAGATAATCAAATGACAAACCTGTAAATTCTGTGTTCAGATCAACCATTAATGGATAATTTCTCCAATCAAAACTGGATAATAATTGTAGAAATCTTAAAAATGCTGACCCAGGTGAACTAAAAGATATAATATCAATAATAACCAGTACTTCTACTTACATACATCAAAACATGTATAAAAATAATGAAACTGCACTATAAAATGGTTCAAAATGAGAAAATTGATTTTAACATCCTACTATTTAATTTATTGGGCTTATTGAGGAGGAGGCAAATTCACAGTGGAATTAGTGAAATTTTGTCGGAACAGGAGCCTTAGCCGATTATTATTATGATTATAAACTGTCAAGGGACTTGTGAAAGTTCATAGTTGGCAATTAATGTTTGTACCTTTTTGGTCACATCAGTCTCTTCGCTCAGACTTACTGAGACCATGCGACTACTATAAATATTTATATTTGTGAGAAGGGTAAAATAATAACTGAACATACCCAGGTTTGGTATATGGTGCAGGTGATAAATATATATAACAAACAATTAATTCTATAACAATATCTGGTACGTGATTGGATAATAACTGAGCAGATGTCCATCTTTTAGCCAATCGTACTGCAGAACACATTGTATTATGTTGTTGATATATGCTGTAAAAAATAACATACAAGTTTAAATATCAATACAACTATTATATCTATAATTCTTACATATTATATTATTCTAATAATAAATAGAGGGAAAAAATTCACTAGTTTAATGGCGGTAAAATTCAGATGAAATAATTCACTTACCCATGTATAGTACTGCTAAGTTTGGGTAATGCAATAACATCTTTTTCAAACTGAAATGATTTCTGGTTATTCTGTACAGATAATACTCCTGTTTTAGTTACGAAGGCTTTCATAATACTCAATTCTCTTAATGCATAAATCTTTATTCTAAATACAAAACCATTCTGAAAACAAAAACAATACAACTCAGTTCATCTTGATATTACCAACAAACTGAGAAATTTCAACTATTAGAATCACTTTCAGAATTAAATACAACATCCTATTCCTCTTCAATAAAGAAAGTTTTTGTGGTTTATTTGGTAATTCTTGAAAATGGTATGGATAACTTATTCAGCCAACTCAGTTGTGATAAAAAATATTTGAAAGATTTGCCAAAATTTTTTAAAGAAATCTATTACTATCAACAAATGAATATAATATTTTTCACATATAGAATATCTTAGTTTTTAATTTACCTTAAAGATGTCTATATGAGTTGGCTGTAAAATAACTTTTAAACTTTTATCTAAACTCAAATCTTTAGAAATCTTAATATAAATGGCTGCTTTTAATCTCTTGACTGCTTCTATATCATCAGGCCATTTCCCACTTCCTTCTAATATACATGTTACTGAAATATATCATAGTTATTGCTTCATGGTAGTAGCAAAGGGTTAGCTGTATTTAAAAAACACCCTTTTTGCAATTCAATATTTGAAATTAAATTTGGGTAACCATAAGAAATCATTTCCAATGAATGACCAAATTCAGTCATCACAATGATCTGCAAATCAAATCTAATTGTATATATTTTATAATAATTCTTCCAAATCTAGAGGCAGGCAACTCCCAGCAGTCTCTGTAATCTTGTGGAACTGTGAACTGTTTAGTCTATTGTATATTTTTGTTTTTCTGCATTACTTAAGTACATTTTATGTCAATTTGAATTCTTGAGTTGCCCCAAAACATAATCTTAAAACATATTACTTATGAATAATAATGATTTCACAATTGAACACAATAGTTGGTAATTCAATAAGAGTGAGATAGAAGGTAAGTTACCTGGAAGGGTAGGTTGATAAGCTGGTGCTACTAAACTTCTTGTTGGATAATAATGATCATTTACTTTCTTTGTCTCTTTAAACTGATTTAAAGCCATAACAGGGAATACCTACAGATATAACATGATGTCAGTTATATTATGCATGGGAGATGATATGAATTAGTTAGGCACTTTTCTGACAAATTTTTCTATGTCTATTTCTTAAATCAGACCCTTTCATTCTATTGAATAAAAAAAAATTATGTAAAAAATTATGTCTTGTTGACGTAGTACATGGGAGACAAAACAGTAACTATTTAATGAGTAAATCATGAAATCATGAAATGTATCACTGACAGGAGAAAACCAGGTTGAAATAAAAGGTTAGCATCAGTCATTTTAGTGTTACAATTATCTGATTGGTCAATCTGCAAAGTAGGTAAAACCCTTCCCTCCCAAAATATGATAAGCTACACTTGAAAGTGTTGGATTAAATGACATATTTTACATAGAATAATAAACTTACATCAGTAAATCTAAAAACAGGATGAATTCCTTGGATATTGTTGATTCTTAAAGGCATATCTGATAAACCTCGTAATGATTTCTTTATACCATCAAATGTATGTATAACAGACATATGTTGTTCTTCTCCTGTACCATATATAGGTTGGTCTATTTGTTTAGGAAATGGTATGTGAAGAGGAACATCAAATTCTTCACCCATATACCTTATATCTTCTAAATCAATACCAGCATACCTTAAACAATCAACAAATTATGGTTACTTTAGATTCATATACTGATTTATTTTTTGAACAACTTATAAAGAACTTCATAAGATCCAAATATCTTACAACGGACATTTACAACCTGTAACAATATTTTAAATTTGTCAAAGAGGTTCTGTAATTTACTACAGAATCTTGAAGAGATTCATAAAATATGTAAACACTAACTAACTCTTGCTACATAAATTGATATGTATAATTGAAAGAACCATCATCAAAACAATATAACTTACTTCTTAAGAACATAGGGAATTATCTTTGATATTACAAGCCTTTTCTTTCTAAATGTAGAACCTTTAGACCAAACAATAGCCTCACAGATACTTCCATCTTGAAATCTTCTTAACTCAGAAACTTCACCCCAAAACTCTCGAAATTCACGAGCCTAAAGTAAAATTATATTCATATTATACATATTTTACATATTTTACATATTATGTACATGTAGTAATTTTCATACAACACAAAAAAGGCTGTCAACAAATTTGGTAAAAATCAAAATAAAAAAGATTCTAAAACATTTTCATATCATATTTGGTCTTTTCTGTTGAAAGTACATTTTCAAAGTGCAAGAAGACAAGCACTTGTCAGCATTCTCTTGTTAAATTGAGAAGATTGATGCCCTCAGCTGTCTTCTTTTAAAATTAGAAAACCCAAGAAAAAATCCTATCTTTAATATAATCTCTATTTTAAGAATAAGATATATGAATGATATTTGAGTGTAGGTCAACTGTACTCAGTCACTTGATTACTGAGTATAAAATTTATGCATATTTTTGAGAGTTTCAAAACAAAAAGCACATGGCCATAGTACAGCAATCCAGAAATATCAAAGAAAAAAAATTCAGTTTAAACAAACCTCAGAGGAATCAGCTGTTGGACCTTTTTCTACTGATTTAGTAGACATAAAGGTATCAACTAATAATCCTATAGTTATACAGTTTATATCATTATAATTACTACAATCTTCATCAATATTCCACTGTAATATAAATATCAAATTTGATAAGGAAAAGTTTTCAGTCTAGTAAAGGTGTCTAGCAATTTACCTGGCGATGTTTGCAAAACCTAATGATATCGCATTACATCACTATCTTTTGCCTTAATACCTGATAAAGCTCATTTCCACCTATCAGCATCACTTTTCATCATTAAATTTGTACTTGGTCATACAATTTAACAGAAGCGCACAAAAACAATTTAGATTATATACTACCAATTATTAAAATTGGTCCTCACCAATGTTATCATAATATCATATATAATTACAATTGGTATGCTCAATATCACACTAGTTAAATGATTTGTTAATCACTAAGATTCATTGTACTTGAGTTTTATCATCCACTTAGATTAATGTGTTTCTTAAAAATCTTGAGATTTCAGATGAGATTTCAATAATATTGACCCAAGATCTGTGACAAGAAACTATACAGATTCACATATCTCTATAGATAGCACTTAATTAACATTATTGGTTCAACCTCAATTCATCCACAAAATCAGAAGACAGACTTACTGTTGGTGTTGGTAATGATCTTGGTTGGATCAATAATATTCGTTTATCTAGAGCCTTTTCAAGAACATCCAATATTGATGTTAAATAGGCATATACATAGTTTCCACCATTATCAATCAGTTTGTCTAGACCTCCTAATGTATCTCCATGTTCTTGTATTGACTTCAGATTATCTACACTGTTTAACAAATAAAGAATATCATGAAGTAAATAAACCAAAAAGATTTGCCACGTTGACACACCTAAAGCCAGACTTGAAAAAATATGTTTTTAAGGTTAAAATATATTTAGATTCTTTGGGATTTTGTAGGCAGAAAAAAAAACATATATTTAAGGAATGAATGTTGATCTTGTTATTGTTATGGGGAAATAAACGCTGGTTTATCATGTGACAAGACAAATGACTCGGTGAAGCTCAAGATCCACATCCATTCCTTATATTTACATTGGTTTATCTTTTCTGATAAAATACGCCAAAATGTTTTATTTTTTAAATGTAAAAATAACCGAAACCGTTGTTGCTTAATTCACCGATATCTGTCAATCAAGTTCACCGCCCCGCCCTTTTCGTTTTCGATGTATTCATACGCCTTGTTGTCACGTGACAAACTACAGTTATTGGAAAATAAACGCCGGTTTGGCTAACTGGCTTATTGAAGGGAGTGACAATAGAAATGTAAATATTACTTGATACATTTATCAAAAATTTGACTGAAAAGTCAACTTAGTATCTGAGAAATCCAAATTTGACTTTTCAAGATACTATGTTAAGCTTTGAGTCATAGTAATCGACAGATAGTAACCAAATTGGATTTACAGGTTGGATTTGGGACTTTCCAGTCATTATGTCAAATTTGACGGTTACCAAATTGGATTTTAGAGCAACAGTCAGATTTTGTACAATTTAGCAAATGAAACTTGACATATATATTCTAACTATTCTTCTATTTCCTTGCTGTGAAGGGACAATTATAAATACTTTTAATATTGTTACTCAAAGAAAATTTTAAAAATTCAACTCACTGAAAACAATAGTCAAACTTTCTATCAAAAGCTACAGATGTCATAAGTAAGAGATCAAATGCATCATTTGGTTTAGTAGTAAAATAATCAGCTGATAACTTTGCTTCATGTAGAACCTATAACAAACATACACATTAATCTACTAAATATGGGAACTAAACAGAAAATCATCATAATCTAATGCTGCAATCAATACAGATTACAACATTTTTTGCAAAATATAATCCAATTTTTGTAATTTCAATTCCAATGGGACAAATAGGATCTCTCGCTATAAAGATATTTTCTCATCCGGTATCAGAAAGTGTATGTTATTGCCAACATAGTAAAAAAAAAAATTTAATTCACTGAAAATAAACTAAGCAAACTTGAACGATAAATTAAAATGCAAATCTGGATGTTTCATTTCATTTTTTTTATGCAGGTTATTACATTTGCAATCCATGATCTGATGAGATTCCTCTTTAAATAATGTCCATGAATGTTTGACACAATAGCATCCAAAAATGTCATAAATCATGCTAAAATATCATGAATGGCAAGTCAAGTAACCCGCAGTGAACACTTAAAAAAAGATTTGAATCATATTGCCACCTGAACTTACCCTTTGATAAACAGCTTTATTCAAAGTATAGGCTAAATTATAGTGACCAGTAACATCTAAAAATACCACATCAAATACAGATTTCATATTGAACTCTGATGATTTCTCATTTAAACTCTTCTTTATTTTAAACAAAGACGGTGCTTTGACACACCAATCATTCCGAGCTATAAATAAACAAATGAGGATATTATGATGTGAATAGAAGAAACTTATTGGGAAAAATTTAACCAAACTAATTTTTGCATATCACAGACACCAATATTACTGCCAATGTCAATGCAGATGGGATACCCAAAATATATTTCATTGAATATAGCAAAAATTCTGTGACTGTCTGGCCCTTTTCGGGGTGTTACATTAATATACACATAATTATAAAGTAATATATTATATATTGTGTACCATATTCAAACAAATAACTATTATTAAAAAACTTACCTAAATAAATTAGAGTACTTCGAAACACTTGATAACTGCTCATCATTTTATTGAGTAGTCTTTGCGATAACAAATACATTACATACATAGTCATAATATAACTAGAAAAATAACCATATCCCTACAAATATACAATATATACAATCATAATATAACTAGAATAATAACCATATCCCTACAAATATACAATATATACAATCATAATATAGCTAGAAAAATAACCATATCCCTACAAATACACAATATATACAATCATAATATAACTAGAAAATTAACCATATCCCTACAAATACACAATATATACAATCATAATATAACTAGAAAAATAACCATATCCCTACAAATGCACAATATATACAGTCATAATATAACTAGAAAAATAACCATATCCCTACAAATATACAATATATACAATCATAATATAACTAGAATAATAACCATATCCCTACAAATACACAATATATACAGTCATAATATAACTAGAAAAATAACCATATCCCTACAAATATACAATATATACAATCATAATATAACTAAAAAATAACCATATCCCTACAAATATACAATATATACAATCATAAAACAACTAAAAAATAACCATATCCCTACAAATATACAATATATACAATCATAATATAACTAAGAAATAACCATATCCCTACAAATACACAATATATACAGTCATAATACAGCTAGAAAAATAACCATATCCCTACAAATATACAATATATACAATCATAAAACAACTAAAAAATAACCATATCCCTACAAATATACAATATATACAATCATAATATAACTAAAAAATAACCATATCCCTACAAATATACAATATATACAATCATAATACAACTATAAAAATAACCATATCGCTACAAATATACAATATATACAATCATAATATAACTAAAAAAATAACCATATCCCTACAAATATACAATCATAAAACAGCTAGAAAAATAACCATATCCCTACAAATATACAATCATAATACAGCTAGAAAAATAACCATATCCCTACAAATATACAATATATACAGTCATAATACAGCTAGGAAAATAACCATATCCCTACAAATATACAATCATAATACAGCTAGAAAAATAACCATATCCCTACAAATATACAATATATACAGTCATAATACAGCTAGGAAAATAACCATATCCCTACAAATACACAATATATACAATCATAATATAACTAGAAAAATAACCATATCCCTACAAATATACAATATATACAGTCATAATATAACTAGAAAAATAACCATATCCCTACAAATATACAATATATACAGTCATAATATAACTAGAATAATAACCATATCCCTACAAATACACAATATATACAATCATAATATAACTAGAAAAATAACCATATCCCTACAAATACACAATATATACAATCATAATACAGCTAGAAAAATAACCATATCCCTACAAATATACAATACATACAATCATAATACAACTATAAAAATAACCATATCCCTACAAATATACAATCATAAAACAACTAAAAAATAACCATATCCCTACAAATATACAATATATACAATCATAATACAGCTAGAAAAATAACCATATCCCTACAAATATACAATATATACAGTCATAATACAGCTAGAAAAATAACCATATCCCTACAAATATACAATATATACAATCATAATATAACTAGAATAATAACCATATCCCTACAAATACACGATATATACAGTCATAATATAACTAGAAAAATAACCATATGCCTACAAATATACAATATATACAATCATAATATAACTAAAAAATAACCATATCCCTACAAATATACAATATATAAAGTCATAATATAACTAGAATAATAACCATATCCCTACAAATACACAATATATACAGTCATAATATAACTAGAATAATAACCATATCCCTACAAATAGACACTATATACAAAGATATATAAGGACAAACATACCATGTCTAACTCTCTTTGTCTCAGCCATATTTTTAATAATTTAATACCATCTTGAAAAGCCGGTAAATCAGCTAGAATATTTTCTATGTATTCAGTATTTGTTTTCTGTGTTAAATCTTCTAATATAGCCATGTTGCTATAGGGAGTTGGTTTTAACCTTACATCATCTGAAATAATACAAAATATCATTAGAAATTGGAACAACAGACAAGATTTATTCTAAATTTCATGAATTACATTAAACTATGTACTTTAATTGGTAATTATTATTATTTATTCAGTTGAAATTACAGCCTTTGTGTGTGTTCATATTAGATATAGCCTGGCACAACTTAATAGATTAGTGTTTTTCATGTTCAAATTTACTAACTTGACTTTAGTGACAAAATTAACATGGTAATAATCAAATTCAAACATGAACTTGGTGTATATATATTCTAATGCTAAATTCCGTTAGTCCTTTGAATCAAAAGAGCACACCACCTGGAATTAGGTTTGAATTAAGTTTGATTTCCTCAAATCATTAAGAATTGATCATTACAATATGAGTCTTATCTTTTTCATATCTAATACTCAAAACCATAACTTGACATATCCTACCTTTAGATTCAGCCTGTGTTATTTCTTTATACCATTTTACATTGATATTACATATATTAACATTGAAAGTCTCTAGTTTATATGTATTATGAGGTAAACATACAATTATATTAACATTGATACTTCTATTCTCTTCTACAATAAATAATAATAAGATAATTACATTGCACATCTATGCATGGTTAAAAGAGTAGAGAATAGAGAATGTCACATTTGCTTTGATGATAAAAAATCACAAACGTTTATATAAAATAGTGTATTCAATTACTATTCAGTACATGATGTAATGATTTAATTAACTGATCAAAGTAAAAATGAACCTACCTTGCACGTTTAGATTTAAGATAGGTTTTAAATGGTTACCATGTTGATAGGTAAATTTCATTGCCTGACAGAGTGTAGTCTTATTTAATTTAGCAGCTACATAAGTCAAGTATAATGCTCTTTTTCTGAATAAACGATGGTTAAAATTATCTTTTTCTGATATACAGCCCTATAAAATCAAAATCATATTCAATAATAATTTTGATATAACTTTTACTTTTAAAATCATAAATCATCACTACAACTCAAATAAAGATACATGGCAAGATAACAAAATAAAAATGACCAAACGCTAGATCCTGAATTTTCATTATGGCAAATTTCCTAAACGAAAGTCAATTCGATTTTGTACATAATACATAGAAGAAAGCAGATATTATCACATAGATCCACTCACAACTACATGGAACTGAAAATGCTTGGAACTGGAATAGCTGGATTTGATATTCTCAATGTGAGATGTGACAAAGCATAATATATGAATTTGAATTCATTACCTTTGGCATTTCTACAAGTAAATCGATGACAGAATGTGGTTTAACTACTGTATTAGTAGAATAACTACCAACAACACATATAGAACTAGGAGGTAAATACTGAAACTGGCCTTTATTATCATCATCTGGTTGATATATAGGTACTTTCACTTTCTGCTTTAAAAACCATTGTGTATCCGTTAACTACAAAATATATATTGCATAATATGAATTACTGAAAATATTGCTTTTTACTCTTTTGTCCAACTGATATGTATTTCAACTATCTTTAATGTTCCTACAAATTCAAACTGGATACAACTGACTCTGGAATGTCCTTTCCTATATTATGCCTATCCTATCAGAACCTGAATCAAATGAATTAATGTTTACTAAAATGAAAACTTGTTTACTGAGCTGTAACGTTCCCACACTATCCTAGCAAGACAAACCCCAAGCTCGCTATTCTTACAAACACTTGTTTCAAAGGTTAGGGATCTAAATCATGGAATATGTAAAAAGCATGAGAACATCTAATTATACTAAAATCTATCAATCTAAATGATCCAAAAGACAGACAAATAAAAAAAATATACCCTAATCTGTTCACTTGCTGGAATATCCAATATCATTTCTTTTAAATTATCTATCAGGTTATGTGCATACTTCTTGTGTTTATCTTTCAATGTAACTTCTTTTAATACTTCACTTATCTGAAATAAACAGAATACAAGTGTTGCTTATTTTTAATTATTGAAGCACACCTTAACTTTATTTTTAACATTTCAAAAGCTGTAAATAACAAACAGTGCAATCTAAAGATTAAGCAAGCATCAGATGACTGACTGACAGAAAGATATAGGCGCTGTCATATATATGTCAACATACAAAGATGTATATCAGTTTATAAAAAATTGCAGATGATTGCAGACATTTCAACTTTAAGTACCTGAAGTCTGAATAGGTTGGAATGAAAGAGATTTTCTGTTTCTTTCATCTGTTTAAGTTCCTCAACTGTAGGTTCTTTATACAATTTCTCTCTTTCTTTTTTAGTCAATTTCTTAGCTGGTTCACCAGTTACTTCCCTTTGATGAGCAGCAGATAAATTAGCTAAAATGTCTTCATCTTCTTCTATTTCATTATCATCGTCTTCACCATGTTCAACCTATAAAAAACAATATTGTTAATACATGTGTATGTTGTTCAAATTATTGTTTTATATCATTCCACTATTCCCAATACTATAACTAACATGTGACAATATAGATGGGTCTGACAGAGTAGCCTAGATATGTCAACAGTGATATGAACACATGTACTTTTGTAGAATGTATATAAAATGTACATGGCTACATGACATAAAGATACAAAACTATGGCATTCTCAAAATTTAAGTTTAAGTGACAACGAATTTAATAAATCTTCAAACACTTCATTTTCATTGAAACAGATGTCATTTCAGAAATTTCCAGGCGGAGTCATCGACTGAGCCAAAGCCACCCCTATGTCAGGGCGAAACTCATTTTTCATCATAAAACTAAAAGACAGTCAAATTCTGTTACTGTTTACGTCAAAGTATGTTTTTGGTTACTAATAACAGAGTTGGATAAAGGTTAATAGTAAAATAAGTATCTTGAACCTCTGTGTGTTGACGTTTGATTCCCATTTTCTTTTAAATTAAGGTTGTAGTAGCCAAAACGTAAACAAAACCACGTGTAGTTTCGATATTTGTGTTGGCCTTGACATTGAAATATATTGTAATCATTGTGTACAGAATGCACCTTTGAAACGTAGCTAATTCATTAATCAGTTCATTAAGAAAAATAAATTCCATCATTTATTGATTTATTTAGATTGGTAAAGTAATAATAATAGACCTATGGAAAATGGAACGTACGTTGTTATTTGTCTTTGTCTTATTTTTTTTTATGAAACAAGGGACATTTTTTTCTTTTATGTACCATGGTGGTTACGAAGTTGTATAAATTCGGAAGTAGAGTACTGCGCGAGCACGAAAGAAGATTGAGTTCTTGTTAACCGTCTTGTTCAAGAATCTTGTTCAAGAAATTGGTTATTTTACATATTTACGATGTTAACAAAAGAAGAGATTCAAGGATTTGAATCAATTTTAAGAAAATTGTCTAATGATGACATAATGTCATTAAAAGACACTGTAACTAATCGTAAGATTGCTGTCGAGGGGGTTAAAGGTATGTAGGCTAAAATGTCCTACTATAACTAAGGCTACTTTCACTTTCAAATGAAACTGTCAGAAACCGAGACTCTTAGACGCATGACTTTTGCAACTAGTTTGCAATTAAAATTGCAATTCCGACTTGTTGAAAAAATTGTGACTGATATTTTCAACTGCTATGCAAATAGATCAATGTGCTATCCAGAGGTTATAGTCAATTTGGCACCTAACCAAAATGGCCTCATAATTAGTCGAAATTACCTCTAAAAATTGGTCAAAATGGCCTCTGGAAAGGGGCAAAATGGCCCTTTGAAAAAGCCAAAATGGTACCAAAATAATATTTGATTTCATTGAACAACTTAAATATGGTATTAACTAATAGTCTCATATTACAAATTATTGCATGGAGATGCATTGCTCACTAACCTGAGGGTCTGGGGTTCAATCCTGGCATAGGTTGATATGATACCTTCGGATTTTTCAACCCGGTTACTCCTGCGATGCAGGTAAGAGGGGTTGGCATGGAAAAAGTGTCTAGTACTTCGGATGGGACAATAAACCGAAGCCCCGTGTGTTACAAGCTGTGCACGTTAAAGACCCCTTGACAGTTGGAAATTAAAAAAGAGCCACTGTCCTGGCAAATTTCCCTCATTGTACCCTGCATGGCGTTAGCGCACATGGTGCAGAAAAGTAGGATGTAAAACTCCATTTTATTTCATTTCATTCTTTTTGATATCAGTTGGCAGTTATTGTTTCTTGATATTTCAGAGGCCATTAAAGTTATTATCACATACAGTGACTCATCAAGAGATTTATTAAGAAGAAAGAAAATAAACCGAGATATTTTATTTCAATATTTATACGACTGTAAGGTTGTGGTATCACCAAACCTTGATAAATCTCGTCTGATAGATAAAATACTAGAGTATTGGAAATCTGATCAGACTTTAGACACAACCTCATCTTCATTAAATGTAAGTGTGTTTTCTTGAGATATGGTATGTGTTCTTGGAATTGGAGCCAAAGGATTGTCAAGGGAGGGCTACAGGCCTCTTTTCCCTATTAGATGTAAAATGTTAAGAAATTTGAAAATGGGCAAGATAAGCAACTTGTTAATATGATTTAATTCCAGGTATCTACAGCACCAGGCCTGTATCCACAAAATTACTAAGGGGGGAGGGGCAAATGAGAGGTGTCTCTTTGAGGCGACAACCAGGGCCAAAGTCCCTCGAAGCCAGGAGTCTGGGGGTAACCAGAGGTTCCCAACAGATTTCAGATAGCCTGAGATGAATTTTGAGCTTTAGAGGCTTTAATTTAACCTACCTTAATCAAAAGAAATAAGACTTAACTACCATGTTTACTACCAGAGTTTATAATTTTCATTTTAATTTCTTTATTTTAGCTTGAAGATACAGACTTTAATTCTGAATATGGTGATAATTATCCTGTCCAAAGTTCATCCATACAGACTAATAAATCAGAGACACATATTAATAGAAGAGATTCAAATTATAATTGTAATACTTCTTATGAATATAATTTAAGTGTGGTGGAGGTTTCTAGAACTGAGTTGTCTTCCTTAGATTGCAAGAAGGTTATTGCGTCTGCTGCAGTGATAAATCAAGAAGATCAAGCATTAGCAGAAACATTTGTAACATGGTTTTATAAAATGTTAAATTCACAAAATCCTTTTATGAATCAAGTACCAGAGGATTTTGGACCTCAGCATTTCTGGAATGATTCTAAACTGATTTTAAAGACAAACCAAACCAATGAAATTGAGGAGTTCGAAGGCTGTGATATTGTTTGCCAAAGATTTCTTGCTTTTATGAAGGAAGAATTTCTTTTATTTAATCCAAATGTAAGTGCTGAAGGTGTAAAATTGCAGAAAGATCCTCATGGTCTTATTATGATATCTGTATGTGGCACAATTCATAAAGAGAATAATTGTTTAGGAACATTTCAAGAACTATTTGGGATAATTCGTGACCCCAGATTTGAAAATAACTGGAAGATAAAGACTACCACTCTTGGAATGCGAGCTTCTCAAGTAACCAGTATTCCCACATTAACTAATAATAGTGACATGTTAGCAATTTCAAATGGTTGACAAATTATATTTTGAAAAAGCTTTGGTTAGATCATCCTATTTTTTTAACCCTAACTTAAATGGGTGGACTTTCTTAGAAATTAGCCAATCACATTGGTGATATTTTGATAAAACTAATACACTGTGGCTATTAAACTGAGACCCAGTGCAGTTCAAAACTTACTCACTGTTGCTATAAAACATTGACCCAGTGTGATGAAAAACTAAGTCACTGTTGCTACCTAGAAAACTGAGACCCTTTATATGCAAAATTAAGACACTATTGCTATGAAATTAAACTAAGACCCAGTGTTCTGTAAAACTGATACCCAGTGTGACATGAAAACTGATACCCAGTGTGACATAAAAACTGATACCTAGTGTAATACAAAACGAAGACCCAGTTAGCCGTAAAAGTAAATCCCATTGTGCTATAAAACTGAGACACAATGTGCCATAAAACTATAGAAGCACATAGACACAGCTTTATGGAACAAAAATCACTGAAAGTTTTATGTAACGTTTCCCTAACGCTGTGTCTATATATCGTACTCACAACTTCATAGAAGCACAATTAAAGATTTGTTGTGCAATGAAACTTTGACCCAAGGAACAACAGCAACTATTGTTACATTACCCAGTGTATCAGATAACTTGAACCAGTTTTAAATTTTAAAGCCAGTGCACTTAAAAACAAAGAGCCAATGTGCGATAAACTCAGTGAGCAGAAAAAACCCATTGGAACGGTTACATCAGCTGTGCTTCGATATATATATATATATTCTTTTAATGTTGTCATCCAAAGCAGGATATCAAATGATTCATGGTGTATGGTAACCAGCGTTCTACCATCATCGCCAGCATAATGTTGCATAATTATGGAATCCCGTAAATACCTTAGGATATCCCCAGTCTTAAATAGGTTTTAGTAAATAGAAATATAAGGTTTCAGATTTGTTAATGTTTGTTGAAAATAAACACATTTTCCACGGCATAAACTAAAATTGGCCTCCGCCTGCACGAGGACCTTACCACAGACTGCATTCTTTTCGAGGGGTACGATTTCAGCAAATTGCAATAAAGCTCAATTTCCCGAGCCTCATCATGCAAAAATTCAACAGAATTTCAGGGGGAAAAGAAAGGAAAATAGTGTGAACAATGACGGTATGTCAAGTCTCAACGACGGCGAAAAGAGCAGACCGAAGTTTTCAGGGATAATATGCTTTTATTCCGATTTGCTGGGGTCAAAAAGGTATAAAAAGACACTTCTATGCATGCTGTAAATCTTGATCATCTATTTCATATTCCTTGATTCATTTCATACTCAGAAATGTACAGATAATCAGAGACAGTTTCATAGCCATTATTTGATACACACTTAACAGCAAATGAACCTTGACCGGATTCAGTTGGATTCGGGAAGCTTTTGATGGTAATCTGTCTTGTTGTCAGCTCTCCAGATGTGTCCAAAGGACTGATCTCAAAAATATCATTGCTGGTCAATACAACCTCGGGTTGTTGAAGGAATTTCGGTACCGCATAATGGTTGGTTTCGAAGAATTCAATGGATGGTCTAGGTCTTCCTTTACTCTTACAGACAAATACTAACTATAAAAGTGGAAACAGATAAAAACAACGATTATAGACATGCTTAGTTCTTATAATACACCAATCTGATCAAAATAAGATTACAATTTCATTTCTTTGTTTTTCTGATATTGTTCGTCTCCATTGTGATCTAACAAGTTGACTACTGCAGCCCCGTTCTATATATAGTGACATTATAATTGACCAATCAAGGTGTGTCAACTGTCTTGAAGGACAGTGACTAATTGTGAGACCCGAAACCCAAACTTATATATACTCTTGGAATACTTTCAGCTGATATCCCACAATTCGCTAAAACCAAACAACAAACAAAAGCAATCATAGCGTAGAATCAATGCTGAAAAATTTACTTACGGAATTTCCTCTTTCCCGTCTCTCGGACTCGATCTCCACGTGTTCCTCAAATACATTCACTTTATAGGTGACATTCTTCGTTATACCTCCTGATGAAGCCTGTACCATATATTCACCGGAATCTTCTTGACTTATAGAGAAAGATTTAGCCATGGTAGCAGTGATGTATTTATAGGGGAATGCATTAAGCTCAAATCCAGATATCGGCTGCCATCCACGAGCAGAATTCTTTTGCCAAGACATAGTTGGTGGTTCTTGATTGTAAATCAACGACCCCAATTCAAGAACATCACCTTCTGTAACATTATACTCTTCTTTCCCATACAACATGGTCATCATCTCTAACGGCTGTGAATGTGAAACCGAATTGGGGTGAACCATGTAGATACGTTTGATGTTAATGTATATTGATAATCCAAATGGATTTCCTTGGGAATTCAGGATCATATTTGTCATCAAAACTCCATTGTTTCCATCAACATCTGTTAAATCAACCATAATATTGAAAACGCCATGTTTTTCATCTAAAGGATTAACTTGAGTAAGAATTCGTGGTGCATAATCAGTACCAGTTTCCATGTAAGCAGAAATACTCGAATGTAAAACATTTCCATCGTTTGTTGTCACATGAGCAACAATGTCTGCTGAACTGGGAGAAGTTGCTGGATCGAAAACAAGATCTTCGGTTTGCTCGTATCTAATTGTAAAGGAGGGACTGTTGTAAGATGAAATATTGGAACTATTTTCAGTTGGTCGTGGTCCTTGCCGTCTTCCAGGCGGATGGAATTCAATGTTGACGGTATCCTTCAGACTTGGAATCATGGAAAACACGACAAGTGGAACCACGGAAGATTGAATATAGGAGGTTTTCTGGACGACTATTAGTCGGTGTTGGTTACTATTGCTTTCGTGAATGAAGCAAATGCCCAAACCTGTATGACAAAGAAGAAGATCAACTCAAGAAATTCCACATTTAAAAAAAAATTTGACTGGTTCTAATACAAATAAAAAATGTGAAATTAAACCTTCTAAATGGACAAGTTGAAGAGCACATTCTTTTGACCATTAGATATTTCTCTGGGTATAACAGGTAACAGGTAAGTTCAAGAGGGAAAATTAAAACCCCGCCAAGTTTTGAAACATGACAATGTGGCGTACAGTTTGTACACTGTACCATGTAGCAAGGAATACGGGATTTCACAACTGCTCTGATGAAGGATATTACATTATACACTTACCACACTTATTTTCCAGCATATCGATGTATGATTTACCATGATGAAGGCCAACATAGATCACAGATGCGTCAAAGGTAGCATTAAAATCCACTACCAATATTTCACAGTCTTTCACTTTGTCATTATAAACCTTTCCATAAAATTCATTTAATTCCAACTCTTCCAGTACCTAATCAACAATAGTAAAGAATGAAGGTGAATAATATTATTATATAGCAAATAAACTATATTAGGTAAGTGTTCTTCCCAGAAGTGTTGCTAAGTTTATGAACCCATTTTCTGATAGCATGCCCTGTCCTGTGGGTTGTCCATGCAATTTTTCCAGAATGCCCATCGAGCCAATGCTGATCATTTCCGTCAACTGATGTACTAAAATATTTTTTCAAATGATCGAACTAAGGATGGTCTTGATCAGAAATAGACACACCATAGTTTCAGATTGCTCACCTCGGGTAAATCCTTAACTTGAGATAGTTCTTGCTGAAAGATAAATGAAATACAAATAAATGTTTTTCTCGGGACCCACCACATCAAAATAAAAGTAAAAAATCAAAGTAGTGATACAACCTTGATTGAAAAGAGTATTTGGTATTTCTAAACGTATTACAGAGTCGAAAAATTGACTCAATGAAATAATCAGAAGCGTAACATATCGATAATTTGTAGTCATAATTAAGCTACAGTTGGTAATAATTTACATCTCATTCAGTTAAAGCTTTCGAAAGTTTGGCAACTGCAGATTTTTAATCCGATGAAATTGACTATACTGTTTCATTTTGAGTTTTTGATGGTAGGCATATACAATATGTTTTCAAATTTTTAATGATATATTGAAATTTCTGGGCAATCTACCTTTAAGAGGAATGGGGAAACATAGGCTTGCGGCAAGTCTCGCAAGTGAATACGCCCACCAGCAGCGTGATAAAGAGCTAAATGTGAACTGTAAAACAAACTCTATATCGAAGCCTGTAGAGTGAGCACGAGCTAAAAAAAAGTGTAAAAACGCGATATCAGAGTTGTATGCGATATCTCTAAAGAAAATCATCGGATCGTCACCAAATTCAATAGTGTACATTCTTCATAATGATATTGACACCAAACAAAAGATCAAAAGAATCCATGGAGAATTGTAGCCTATAGAGTGAGCACGAGGTAAATGTGAACGGACCGACGGGCGGACGGACGGACGGGCCGACAGGGGCAACTACAATATACGCCCATACTTTCGTGGGCGTATAAAAAGTATATCCTGATCATTATGACGTATTCATTCAAATGAAAGATTTAAACAACTCATAGGGAACCCACTAGAGAAGAAATTATAAATGAAAGGAACTACTAGATGTGATAAATCGAGGAAACCACAGCATTCTAAAACTGTATACATACAACCATCTGGTAATAAACTAACCTGGGGACTGATTGGTCTCTGCCAGTTTCGCATTCTATTCCATACATTATTTCTATTTAATGTATCATACACATCACTCATCTACAATACAATATACTCACATAATCATGGTATGTAATATTGGAATAATTCGAGTCGACTATTTTAACTCACACCAGACCTCCTAACCTAAACTGTTCTGCGATTAACTTTCAATTTTGGATGATCTTTGACTACTTCCAATCTTAATTGGAATTTTTTCCAGAATGCCCATCGAGCCAATGCTGATCATTTCCGTCAACTGATGTACTAAAATATTTTTTCAAATGATCGAACTAAGGATGGTCTTGATCAGAAATAGACACACCATAGTTTCAGATTGCTCACCTCGGGTAAATCCTTAACTTGAGATAGTTCTTGCTGAAAGATAAATAAGATACAAATAAATGTTTTTCTCGGGACCCACCACATCAAAATAAAAGTAAAAAATCAAAGTAGTGATACAACCTTGATTGAAAAGAGTATTTGGTATTTCTAAACGTATTACAGAGTCGAAAAATTGACTCAATGAAATAATCAGAAGCGTAACATATAGATAATTTGTAGTCATAATTAAGCTACAGTTGGTAATAATTTACATCTCATTCAGTTAAAGCTTTCGAAAGTTTGGCAACTGCAGATTTTTAATCCGATGAAATTGACTATACTGTTTCATTTTGAGTTTTTGATGGTAGGCCTATACAATATGTTTTCAAATTTTTAATGATATATTGAAATTTCTGGGCAATCTACCTTTAAGAGGAATGGGGAAACATAGGCTTGCGGCAAGTCTCGCAAGTGAATACGCCCACCAGCAGCGTGATAAAGAGCTAAATGTGAACTGTAAAACAAACTCTATATCGTAGCCTGTAGAGTGAGCACGAGCTAAAAAAAAGTGTAAAAACGCGATATCAGAGTTGTATGCGATATCTCTAAAGAAAATCATCGGATCGTCACCAAATTCAATAGTGTACACTCTTCATAATGATATTGACACCAAACAAAAGATCAAAAGAATCCATGGAGAATTGTAGCCTATAGAGTGAGCACGAGGTAAATGTGAACGGACCGACGGGCGGACGGACGGACGGGCCGACAGGGGCAACTACAATATACGCCCATACTTTCGTGGGCGTATAAAAAGTATATCCTGATCATTATGACGTATTCATTCACATAAAAGATTTAAACAACTCATAGGGAACCCACTAGAGAAGAAATTATAAATGAAAGGAACTACTAGATGTGATAAATCGAGGAAACCACAGCATTCTAAAACTGTATACATACAACCATCTGGTAATAAACTAACCTGGGGACTGATTGGTCTCTGCCAGTTTCGCATTCTATTCCATACATTATTTCTATTTAATGTATCATACACATCACTCATCTACAATACAATATACTCACATAATCATGGTATGTAATATTGGAATAATTCGAGTCGACTATTTTAACTCACACCAGACCTCCTAACCTAAACTGTTCTGCGATTCACTTTCAATTTTGGATGATCTTTGACTACTTCCAATCTTAATTGGAATTTTAAAAAAATATATTTCTTAGGAATTGATGTATCAGTTCTATATGATATTGATAGTCTTGGAATGACATCGCGTTTATGAAATATATTTATTGGGCATTCTTGGTAATTTTAGGTTAAAATATAATTCTAAGACCATATGATCGGTTCAAGTTACGATTTGCCGACAGTATTTCATAGAATAAATAAAAAAAAACACCTTACATGTACATGCTCACTATCTGACAGTCTGTTGATATTTCTTAAAGAAACACCTTCTATCACCACCTGAAAATATCAAATTTGTAATTAATCAAGGCACGGATTTGAAAAAAAATGGACATTCGGTATTTTTTGAAAATTAAAAATATACATAATATCTTGTTTAATTAATACTTTAATTAATCTATCCTAAAGCCAAGTGAAAACATTAATAAACTTTTAATTTGATTTACCGCTTACTACAAACATTTTTGTATCGTATCCTTACGTTTTACTTTTGATTATGCGCTTGATATAATACTGAAAGGCAAACGAAATCACTCGTGAAAATACTTTTTTAACCTTAACAGATACATCATCCTATATAAGGTATAGGTTCGATTATGTAAAGTCTGTTATGCAAGTCTTGTTAATGCAAAGTGTATAATTCAAAGTGTTAAATGTTATCTGTATTCGTGTGGCATTTCATTGGATTTTGGAGAATAATATGCATTTGCATTTTACAAATCGACAATTGTACTTTGCAGCATTGACAAATGCATTTTGTAATGACGACATTGGTGTTTTAAAGCTGCAACACAATCGACAATTTTTCCATACTTTTATTGCCTTAAGCGCCGACTTTCTCGGATGTCTTTACTCACATCTATAAGCATTAAGATGTAAAACTGATATACCCAGACATTTACTTGGCCTTACAGTATAAATTAGTAAAATGTTTTTCTTACCACATATACGAAGGCTAAACTGAAGAGTAATATTTCCAATGGTCCGAAGCTTGACATGGTGTTACCGAAAAGTACAAATTATGTTTTGTGAAACATTTAAAATTGCACAATGAAACATGTGATGGCTCTTGACATTTTCATTTCAGCAATTATATCATTTACTCTCGTTTGAAACGCCAATTTAACCTTTGTTTCACCATCCCATTTCCAGTTTACTGTGACGTGTCATCCTAGACACTGACTATTTCTTGATTTTAAAGGCACCTTACCACTAACTTTACATTGAAAAGAAGTGGTGACGTCATGATTGGATTGACATGATGCCGTCTTAAAAGTGCTACTTTAAGATTGAGACGTCAAAATGGCAACGATAAGATGATTGCAGTTGTTACAAACGTCAGTCATAATTTTCTCAAGTGTAATTTAAGAGCAATCTCTGGATCGAACTGGCAAATATTTTTTATATAATGCTTATGCATCACGCTTTGATTTCAAAATGCAGACAATCCGAGATGGCCTTGAAATATAGAGAGCATACGTGGTGGGGATGGGGTCATTTTGTTAGATATTTTGCAAAAATAACACAACAACCAATGATAGTATTATAGTATAACATACAAAATCAAAATACGAAATTGCCAGAAACACATCATACGCAAATCCCGAATTGTTAGCCAACAACACGAACGTACACCGAACGTAAAATAAATAAGCATAATGTATGCTAAATTAATAACCAATGTAGAACGTGACATAAATAAACATAATGTGAATTAATACCCAATGTAAATAATACCCAATGTAAATAATAACCAATGTAAATAATAATAATAACCAAACCATAAGCTTATAATTTGTAGCCTACTGTATTTTATTAGAGTTTCAAGAATACATGTATGCTATTTACTTCAATTTATAGTCCTGAATTTGTTTTAAAAGGTTTAATTAAAAACAGACCACTAATTGTTAAGTAATCAGTTAAAACTAATTTTGGTATTTTAAAAATAAGAACTAAGATATTTTAGGTTAAAAATTTCAACTATGATCAGGCAGATGTTTCTCTAGGCTTTGATCAATAGATCTCATTAATTTGAACATCTTCTTTTCGACTTCAGACTTGTTTTAAAAATTATACTGCTTCTATGGCATCAAATCATGCTTATATGATACTCGATCAACATAAGATTACATCGTAAGTTGTCAACTACAGGGACATGTCGTCAAGTGGAGCAATTTGGACTTTTTGTTGTGGACATTTGAAGTGTTACAGGCTATGAAAATCCAACTACAATGTCTCTGAATACTATACTAACAGAGACTTAGTATCCAATCTTAGTTTCACTTTAAATATCTGGGGACATTGTTTTCATGCGGATACGATTTGGAGACATACAAAAACAGGTTGAAAACCACTGACCAACATGAATACATGGAACAAACAAGAACATGTCCAGTGAACGAGTACCTTCCCCATCTCATCTATCCTTAGTCTACATCATTTCCAACAGATAAATCTATAGGAAACTAAATGGGTAGCATAAGGACTTTACCCCCTCCCACACTCGCCCCCTAATGTTGGCCCTACCATGGTTTTACCAAGTTTAAAAAAAAATCCATACACTGAAACCAATTGAAATAATTTATTGCTGACCAGCAACCCTGGAAGAATTATCAAACCTAACATGACACCTTACTTAACACCGACCTAATAGAAACCTAACTCCATAGAGTGGCGAGTGTGGGAGGTCGCAAGGTTATAATACTACTTATTCAGTTTCCCACAGATTCAACTGTCAGATGATGTTGACTGACTTGGACTAAGGATAGGTGAAATAGAGTTGGAACTCGTCCACTGGACTTGTTCTTATTCGTTCCATGCAGTCATATAGGCTTATGCCGACGATGGACAAGATCGAGTATCATGTATTTGTAAACAGGTGATTTGTAGACAAAGCTTTATGTACCACCTTTTATCAAAATGTGCCTCTGGACGAAAGGGGGGACACGTCGAAACGTTGTATAAAATTGTGGATCCATAAAGCTACGTCTTTGAAACACTTCAAAATTCATTTAGAGATTCCTTAAAAGCCATGGTTCTTTTTTATAAAACTAGGTTTACCATTTCTATTAGCCCGTAGCTACAGGAAGACAAGGGGGAGGGTGCAATTCCTCCGAAAAATTGAATTTCTCCAGCAGAAAAAATTCTGACGGTCGACAAATATCATTACTGCAACTCCGTGGCCTCTACACAAATATACCTTGCCCCGCAGACAATCGACTATGGCTGGTGGCCACACTTGAACAATATTGTCCCCGTAGTTTAACCTTGACCATTTGTCTTGGTTGCCTGTCGTGCTTCTTATTCTATCTAACATGGCAACCTAAAATATAAACAAAGCCAGGACACAACTTTGTAATAATGATGGATAACCTGGGGAAAATATAAAATCATTAGATGAAACATTGGGACAAGGGATGGTGGTAGAGTTCGGTTGGTAACCTTGATTGCAATATGCTTGATGACAACGTGCAGTTAGTTCAGTGTCCATCACGACCAGTGCTTTCAAGTGTCAACTCTTAAACCCTTCCATTCAAATCTAAAAATAAAACTGAACTTGAACCTATAATTGTTAAAAGGAAATGTCAGTTAGTTACAAATACCAGCCTACAATAAACCGCATTGATTAATACATGGGTGGAGGTTTCCATCTGGGATCACAGTCGTAGTCATGCTCTTGCGAGAGAAAATCCAAAATCAAATGAAAGGGGTGGTTACATTCCACGTCCGAACCATGACAAACGACCAACCAAAACAAGGCTATCAAATTTGAGAATTTTGTGTTAACGTTAAATGGGTTTGGTTAATATTAGTACTTGGGCAACAACATGTGCAAAAAACAGAAAAAAAGAAAAAAAAGGAAATAGGAAAGTGTAAAATTCTCAAATTCAATAGAATCTTTTGCAATATATTGCAGATAATGAATCTCAAATATACGAATGTAACAATTAACCACGATGGCAATCGAAGCGACTGTAAATCAATGGCATTCTATGCATAGATTAACCATTACCATACCATCTAACGGAAAAAGTAAGAAATAATCAGTAGTAAAATCCAACCAGTTGTGTCAGCTAACCTAAACCCAATTCTAGTAAACGAATATATAAAAACATGTCCTTGTGCTGAACTAAACAGCACAAGCGACCTTGATTAATTCAGAACAATGTGATTCCAAATTGGTCACTCTCGTTCAGAACTTGATTGTCATAGAAAAGTACCACACACATACACACACACAGCGTTTGAGAACTTCACAGCAGCAATGCTAAACACATCGCAACAGAACACAGATGTTAAGGCTGGCACCCTAGCAACATGGCGTATCATGAAATGACAAGGTTGACCGTGCAAAGAGAAACTTAAGCTATCCCACGTGAGATGATTGGCAAGACACCGACCAGCCCATGCCAGAGAAACCGCGGGTCGTTGTACCAAACGAAGAGCGGTGTCTGCCAACGTTGCACTCCCTCGCAGTGACGTCATCAGCAGTGAATGGGTAGAATCACGGATAAGAACACTCGCTGTAATCAGAAGACTTTGTACTGATGACACGATGAGTTTCATCCTCCCTCAGAACAGACAATTCTTAGCACTGATTCTTCAAAATGATTTAAGTAATCTACGCTTACGTTTTTTTTTCTGCCTGACGTAGACTAATTATTGTAGAAAACGATGCACTTGGTTTTCACCATACATTTACAACCACCATTATATTGGCATTTACAATCACCAAATATAGGCATTTAATTTCATCATATAATATGAGCATTTACAGACACCATATACATGTATTGGCATTTACAATCACCATTTCTTGGCATTTACAGACACCATATATCTATCTCTCATATTGACATTTGCAATAATATCACCATATATAGTGGCATTTACAGTTACCAAATATTTGTATTTGCAATCATTTCATAAGTCTGAGGTCTTCTGGTTGCAGCGAGTGTTCTCATCCGGGATTCCACCCATTCACTGCTGATGACGTCACTGTGGGGAGGTAGTAACAGAGGTGCAACGTTCACAGATGCCTATCTTCGTGTGGCACAATGACCCTAGATCTCCTTGCCATGCATCTGACCGATATCCTGTCAACCAGCCTAAACTATGGTATCAACCAAAGGTTGTCTGTGCGTGCTATAGACACAGCCTGGCCAGTTCAATTACTCAGTAAGTGATGTTACTCTTATGTAAGCCTGGGCATCTATGTGTTTTGCTGCAACGCGGATGTTTGACATTGATAATGCAAAGTTTCAGACACGTATGTGTATGCATGTATATGGCACCTTTCTGAGCCAATCGAGGTCTGAACGAGAGTGACTGATTTGAAATCGCATTATTTACAAATGTCCAAAGTCTCTTTCGCTCTTCAGTTCAGTACAAGAACAATGCCAAGAGTTTTCGTCAATGACCAGCTGGTAGAATGGCGTTATACTTGTAAAATATGGATGTTTCATTCTTTCTGAAATGAATGATTAATAATTGTAAATTTATTTGTCGTAAATGAGTACATAGGTAAAGATAACGAGAAAAAGAGCTATAAACGTCCCACCTTTCTACATCCATAATTGGGCCAATGAAATGCAGAGGTAACACTTCTCGATAAATAAAATGAATGGAGTTTTACGTCCTACTTTTCTGCGACATGTGGGCTAATGAAAACGGGACACTTGAAAATACACAGGTCTTATCCATATCTAGCTGTTAATAATCATTGGAAAATGGAAAATACAAGACAATGTATTATAAAACAACACTAATATACCATACCTTTTAACATATGATGCGTGTTTCAGTTTAGCAGCGAGAATATTTGACTTTAATCTATAATCATTTCATTTCATGCTGGATATATCTGTTATCATGCTGGATATATCTGTTATCATGCTGGATATATCTGTTACCATGCTAGATATATCTGTTATCATGCTGTGTATATCTGGTATATCTTTTTTATGCAGGATAATATCTGTTTTTGTGCTGGATGATC